TTATTCATTAAGTAAATTTAATTATTCTAATAAAATAATATGTAAAAGCGAAATCACATTCTCAGAAATTAGGCCATCCCAGGTGGGATTTGAACCCACGACCTTTGGATTAGGAATCCAACATGATATCCATTTTCTACAGGGGCACAAAGAACGATTGTTTTTCTTTGTATATATGATGTTGGACTATTATTTTTGTTTGTTTCTATTTATTCATTTTTTAAATTAATTAATGAATTAATATTTGAAAAAGAACTATATTAACATCAAGTGTCATTCACTACAAGTTTAAAAAATGTATTTGGACTTCAATGTATGAATAGAAAGTATTTTAGTAACGATTAAAAACTTGAGCAAGCTATATATATATATATAGGGAAAGAGTGAACTAAAAGTGTAAGAATTGACAAAATGAACAAATCTGTCTCTTAATTTTGAATCATGATCAGATAAAGAAACTATTTTGACTTCTTACTTTTCATAACTATTCCTAGCCAACATCTGTATTTTCAGTCAAGAAAAATTTAAGCAACAGTTTTAAAAAGGAAAAGTGGTGTTTCTTCAATTATTTTAGGAGATCTTATCGCAACTGGACAAAATTTGAATCAGTATAAATGGTTTTAAAGAAGCTGTAGAGATAATGAGTTAATTAATCTGTATAACTAACATGGTCAAATAACTGATAAATATTTTTGAATTATGAAGTTTAACTTTATTGATGATTCTAGATTCATACTTAAAAAAAATAGCTCAATTTTTAAATTTAAAAAAATTGCATTTTTTATAATGTATACATAAGAGGAGAGTTCCTAAATGTATTAAATGTGCGTTTAAAATCTTGATATTCAAAACAATTAAAAACCATTTATACACAAAAATTATAAAAACCTTTTGTTTAAACTGATAGACAATGCATTTACATATATTTTTATATTCAACTTTGAGTAATGGACATATACTAAAAATGTATTATTATAATTTAAAATATACGAATTGCAGCTACTAACAGATGCATTTGTAGTGTGGAAAATATTTGTCCTTTTGAATCCATCCTGTGTTTAGAAGTCTTTTAAAAAAATCCAAATTTTCTGCCCTCCAGTACTTTAGGAAGTATTTCTTTTTAATGTTATCATAGAATCCCGAGGAGATTTAAAAAGTATACACAATAGTTCTTAAATAGTTATTATTCACACAGTTATTATATAGATCAGTATGGATAGTTGCACACGATTAGTAAATATTAATGTCACATTCTAAGGTAATACGTGGGATATTGGCTGCGGACCTCTTAATTTGTAGCTGCGGTGAAATGAAGAGGAGGAGAACGGAGCTTGCAACCTCCTTTACTAATTTCCCTTCTGCAAACGTGAGGACTTCGAGCCACTACAGGTTTAATGTGCATATGCAGCTCTACATGATGGGTCTTCAATAGCTCGAAGACTCGAAATCAAGATTTTCTGGCTATGAGTTCATGACCTTAACCATTCGGCTACCAAGACGGCTCTAAATCTCCTATGCACGGCGGGTCTTCCATGTTATCTGGTATTGATTGCTTGTCCCTGCATCGTTGGACACGATTTCTTGACAATGAACACTACGTTATCGCAGCCACATAATAGTATATAATGCCTTAGAGATTTTTTGGTGTATATCCAGAACTAAATGAATACATTTAATTAAAATTTTGGAGTATTGAGTATTCAAAATATTATCTACTTAATTATGCTAAAAACATATTTCATATTGAAAAAATATGTAATATAGCTACTTTAATTAAATTGATTAATTTTTAATTAACATTGCAAAATTTAATTTCTTTTCAGCAAATAACAGTCATGCCAATTTTTTCAAGTTGTTTCGATGTCTGGGCATCACAAGTCCTTTAACCCGAGGTCACTCGCACCTGCATTTGCTACCGTCATTACTCGTGGAGTGTAGAGAACACCCCAAAATTTAGCGTGTATTTAACTATGAAAAAAAGTTTAAGTCAATTGTGATATATATTTATAGAGTACAAGATGTTTTTTGTATTATAAATAAAAAAAATTATTAAATTCATTGCATACAAATGAGACTAAAATCAATTTAAACTAAACTTACAAAATTTTCATCTTAGAATACATAATTTTATATTTTTTCATAAACCACAAGTAAAAAGTATATACTAGTAATAAACATACTTTATATTTAAAGATAAGGATAGGAAAAGTAGGAAAATAATATTTTAATAATTTTCCAAACATTCAGAGCAAACTGTATACGTATACTCAACTGCTCGCGGGGAGTTCTCAGCACCCCAGATAAACTTTTGAAGATCGCTACGTTTCAATCGTCCGAGAGAGAGTGACTGCATCAGGCCCGAAGGTTCATTGACCTAAAATGTGCAGCTACAGAAAAAATTGTGGTTCAGCTCATTCTTTTTGAAATGCCAGGAGGGTTTTTTTGTTGCTGGGGTGTACAGGACACCCCGCGCGAGTGATCACGGGTTAAGTGTCCCAATACCACAGTTAGCCTGTTTCTTGTTAGTGTCTCCATTATTCTCAAACTATTGTGGTATTTGTGATTTTGTCAATTCAGTTAATTAACTTAATAATTCCCGTAATACTTACTCACTTAAGTTATCCGACTACGTTCGGAACGTTGATTTTGCAAAGGCATATAAATGTATAATATTTATGATATTTAGTGTCACTTAGATTAGAAAATGTATATAAATTGCTTTAAGGATATTATTACAATAAAAAATTATTTAAGTGCAATATTTTAACAAAAAATGAACATAGAATGACCCATTTTAAAAAATATTCTCCTTTTGTGAAAAATGCTTCTATTATATTAATATTTTGCCTGTATATAGCTCAGACCTCTGTACAGAGGATCAACTAGAATTTTTAAAATATATAACTTAGAAGTGGGTTTATCCATGTTTTACTACAACAGATAGGATAAATTTTAAGAAAAAAACGACAATAATTATTTCAATTGTTTGGAACTCTGAAAATAATTTGAATTTTTCAAAAATCACATAGTTGAGCCTCTGTACAGAGGTTTCAGCTATATAAAGGCAAAATATTATTACAGTAGAAGTATTTTTCACAAAAGGAGAACATTTTGAATAAGGTCATTCTAAGTTAATTTTTTGCCGAAATATTGTATTTAAATAATTTTTTTTGTCAAAATGTCCTTAAAATTTTATACATGTATTCTAGTCTAAGTGACACTTAATATCATGAAATTTATCCATTTATGCGCTTTTTTAAAATCATGGTTCCGAACGTAGTCGGATACCTTAAATAAATGCATAACATACAAATTATGCATGAAAAATGTTTCCACCACGTAATTAAAGCAATTTTATCAAACCTATTTTATATATTTCCAAAGCAGCTTTAAATGTCCCAAGTTCCTTTTAATTGTATCCAAAGTTACCTTATACCCATGAGTACCTATTAAGTCATAACAAAAATAAATCACGCGAAAATATTTAAATAATTAATGGAGCAAAGAAAAACGTTAATTCAATTTATAGTTCCATTAACAAGGACATTGCTAACATTATGACCTCTTTGTTAGCTTTATCTTTAATATTTCATGTTTATGAAACATTCCGTAAATAAACAAGGAAGACAAGAATATATTTTTGGATAAATTAACACTCTTAGATTCAATAACGTAATTATTAATTTTAAGCCACTATGATTAATTGATTAATGGATTCTTTGCTTATTAGCATCTAGAATAGTGATACACAACCTTTTTTTTTCTTGTTGCGGTACACTTTTAACCATTTCAAAAAATTTGGCAGCACACTATCAATAAAATAACTTTCAATGAATTTTACTTATCCGCAATAAACTATTTAAAATAGTTTATGATAATAATTTTCAATGCTAAATAAAATAATATGAGCAACAAAGACAACAAAATGTTTATTGAGTAATTAATTACAAGAATACATTTGGTAAGAAATTTGAGCTTAATGATTTTTGATAACTTATTTTATATCTGGTCGTAAAAATGATAACGTCACTCTCATTTCCTCAACTACAATAAAAGTATTGATTTTTTTTTTTTACACTTTTATTTTTACTAAGGCTGAAAAGTCGAACTCACACAAATAAGATATGGAAAATTTCAACAATATGTTTTGGCTGTTATGAGATTGTCTCTAATTTTAATCTAGAATGAAATGATTGACTCTTCAAAATGTTTTGAAATCAAATCTTGATTATAACAGAGCGGGATTAGTTTTTCTTCTTCATTCAAAATTAATTCATATACAGATGTATCCATTATCACAAGTGTATTATGAACTCAATCAAATTTCTTATGTCCATCTATCTATGAAAGGATAAGTTAAATAATCCCCGAATACCCTTAGTTTATTTCTATAAAATGGCCAAATGATTCGGTTCCGGATTTTATTTGTTTCTCAAAATATAATTAAGAACTTTAAGAAAATTTGAGGACAACACAAAAGTGGCGTTGTTCAGTGGTTGCGAATCACTGATCTAGAAGCATTAAGAGGACTATTTATATTGTTTGGAAAGGTAGAAATTCTTAGAAATATATATATATATTGATTTTCAAATTTCTACAAGAAAAAATATTGATTACGCTTCCTGATTTTTTGCAATGATTATCAAATAAGATTTTTTTCATTTAAAACATTTTATTTGTTTCTCAAAATATAATTAATAACTTTAAGAAAATTTG